AACCATACTGGTGCTAGATTTAGCACAGCTACCCAAAATAGGCTTTAGCCCTATTTAGCTCAGAACTCCCACACTCAAGTGATCCACTAGCTTCAGCCTTTCCAGTCCCAGGGACTACAGGTGTTTGCCACCACAACTAGCAATAACCATTCTCAAACCACGATTTAAAAAAAAAAAAAAGAGTTGGCTAGGTGGCACAGTTGATAGAGTACTGGACTGCTCTAGTTCAAGATCCAGTATGAGGCACTAGTTGTGTGACCCTAAGAAACTCAGCCTCTGCCTCAGTTTCTTCATCTGTAAGATGGGTGTCATGATAGCATCTATCTCCCAAGGTTGTGAAGATCAAATATTTGTAAAGTACTGTGCAAAACCTTAAAGCACTGTATAAGTGCTAGTGATGATAATGATGGAAATAAAGGCCCTCTTCAGCTGATTCCTCATGACCAAAAGAGTTCAGCTCTTTAAACAACTTTCCATGGATCCCACAGAGATGCTAACTCCAATGGATTTGAAACAATGTGTTTGAGATTCATAGAATAATGAAATTACAGAATGGGAGGGGATGTTGAGAGGTCGTCTGGTCTAGACCTCTGTCTATTGGAGCCACTTCTTTATTTCAGCCACTCACTAAAAAAATATGGGGCATCAAATGTAACTGCCACATAGTTAACTGTGAAGACAGTACCTGCCAGTTTGGCATCCTGCATGGGCACAGGCTGTCAATGCTATTAGGCCTTGCTTCAGTTACCCCAGATATAAACCTCACTCTCCAACCCCCTCACCCTTGAAATTATCTGGTATTTCATATATACTTTTATTTACTCATATGTATAGATGTCATGTCACCTCACTAGGAAGAAAGCTCCCTGTGGACAGGGCTAGTTCTGCAGTTTTCTTTGGATTCTCAGGGCACAGCACAGTGCCTTGCACAGAATAGTTGCTTTAATATTTGTTGAGTTGAACTGAATAACAGCTGTAAGGGAACAGAATGATGGATGATGATTAGGTCTATTACCAAAGGCTGATACACTGAAAAGAATGAATGGGGGGGGAGGGGAGAGTAAGAAACAGAGAAAGACAAGGATAGAGAGACAGAGACAGAGAGACAGAGGCAGAGAGAGGCAGAGGCAGAGAGAGAGAGAGACACACACAAACACAGACACACAGAAAGAGAGAGACACACACAGAGAGACACAGAGAGAGACACAGAGAGAGAGAGACATACACACACATAGAGGGAGAGAGAGACAGAGAGGCAGAGAGAGACACAGAGGCAGAGAGAGGCAGAGAGACAGAGAGGCAGAGAGAGTGGGGGGAGATATGCAAAGATTATGTTATGATATCTTGCATTTGTATCATGATTTATGGTTTACAAAGAGCCTTCAAATAGGTGAGCTATAGAACAGCCATTTAAGGTACATAAAGCAATAGAATTATCCTATGTTACAGAGGTTAAGAGATGTTAGATGATTTTTTTAAGACTACAGTCAGTGGTGAAGCCAGGATGAGGAACTAGAGCTCTCTGATTCCTAGTTTAGTGTCTTTTTGCTATAAGAATCAGCATGACATAATGGCCAGAGATCTGGCTTTAGAATCAGAAATGCTCCTGACGTATACTAGCTGTGTGATCATAGGCGGGTCACTGTTTCTCAGTGACCCAGACAACACATTCAGATTATAAGTTATAGCCAAACTTCCCATTTGCATTAGTGGAAGAAGTTTCTACACCAAGAGTTCCACACCTATAAAATCACAGGTCTAGATCCCAAATAACAGCAATTTAAAAAATTCACAAACCCTAGTCTGCAGAAATAGCTATAAAGTGAGGCAGGAATTTGCGAGTGTGGTTTGACTTAGCAGGGCAGAGAAGCATTAACTCCCAAGACCTTCAAAACTTTATGAGCATGACGAGATCCTCAGGCATTTCTACAATCAACAGAATTTCTGTGTGTCCAGAACAGCAGGTTTGCCAGAGTAATGAGAATGGGAGTTGCTTATCTCCATCAGTCAGTTTGGACTGCACAGTCAGGTTGGGTAAGTGTAACTGAATTGTAGAGAGAAAATAAGCCTATATTTCCTTAGGATTTGATTACATCTCTCTCTCTCTCTCTCTCTTTCTCTCTCTCATTTTTTGGGGAGAACTGAATTAGTTCCTCCCAGAATTGCTATAGACCAAGCAGTACTTTTGCCCCTGTAAATACCCGTTCTGGAAGCATTTGATATAAATCTGGGGAAAGAACTCACCTCCTAATTCTTGTAAAGCTGAGTTAATGGCCTCTCCAAAGGCAATCTCTAGATTCATAAAATGTTAGAATTGGGCCTTAGAAATCACCACCTACGGCAATCAGTGTGTTGATTCTCCTTCTACAGGGCCTCTCTCTTCCCTCCCCCACTTTTTTTTTTTTAAGGCAATTGGGGTTAAGTGACTTGCCCAGGGTCACACAGCTAGTACGTGTCAAGTGTTTGGTCTGAGGCCGGATTTGAACTCAGGTCCTCCTGACTTCAAGGCCGGTGATCTATCCACTGCACCATGTAGCTGCCCCCCTCCCCCACTTTTTAAAGAACTAGTTGGGTGTTTCCAGCTGCAGTTTGCTTTGGAATTTACCCTTGACTATGAAACCCCAATGCCACTGACAGCCTGGGAGGTATGTTGACAGTGGTTTCTGAGTGTTTCCCAAATCCAAAAATTGAGTAATAGACATCAAGAAATAACACACTTTTCCCTAGTGTGGCCCCAGGAGTCATTGAAGAGTAATTTTAAAGTTGGAAGGAACCTCAGTAGTCATATAGTCAAATTCATACCTGAACAAAAATCCCTTCTTTAATATATTCAACAATTGGTCATCCAGTCTTTCCTTGAAGACCCCTAGAGAGGAGGAGAAATCTATCACCTCCCAAGGCAGCCCATTCCATTTTTTGGATAACTTTAATTATTAGATATCCTCCCCACCCCCTACCCCCGGTTCTTTCTATAACTTCTATCAACTCTTAGTTCTGCTCACTGGGGACCAGAAGAATAAGAACACAGCCTTTTCCATATAACAGCCTTTCAAACACTTGAAGAGAGCCATCATGTCCCCCCACCTAAGTCTTCTCTCATCTGAGCCAAATACTCACAATTCCTTCATCTGATTTGTCATAAGGCTTGAACTTGATTCCCAAACCTGGTCATTCTTATCTGAAAACTAGTCTTACTTATCAATGTCCTGCCTTAAATGTGATGTCCAGAATTGACTACAAAACTCTCTAATTGTGGCCTGGCTGGGAGAGGGTACAGTGGGATTCTCACTTTCTTTCTCTTAATGGAGGCCAAGATCACTTTAGTTTGGTTGACTGCTGTATCTCAACTGTTGACACATATTCACCTTAAATCAGTCTAGCACCCCTTCCTCCCTTTTTTTTCAGACAAACTGCTGTCTAACCATTCATTCTTCACCATATAATTATGAAGTTGTCATTTGGACCCATGCATAATGAATTTTTCTCTATTAAATTGGAATTGGGAGTTGGGGAGAATATAATCTTTGTATGGCTTTGTATCCCCTCAGAGCTATCCTTATTACCTTTGTGTCTTTTCAGACCCCCACCCCCCCCATCTGACCTTAAGTCTGGAAAGACTTAGATAGAAATAGTGACCACATCTATTGACTTTTAACAAAAGGAGAGTTGCTTTCTTTCCCTTTACCTCATACTACCTCCTCCTTCCAGCAAACCAGCAATTAACAACACAGCAGTCAACACTGCCTAAGGGGGTCAGGACAGCTGGAAATAGAACCTGACACATTCTAAGTGTAATGGGAGAAGGTGTAGAGTTCCTTCTATGGAATCATTCCTCCCCACTCCCCAAATCTGCCCACCACAGGTGGACAACACACTTCACTCCCAAACAACATACAAAGGCACTACTTGGCAAGGGGGGCATTTCTGCTTAATACTTTATGCTGAAGTTGGTCCCCATCTGGGTTGTAGACCCTTGGAGCACAGAGACAGCTCAGATGGGAAGGTTTAATTTTAACTTTTCATTCACTCATTATGCAATAAACATTTAGTCTGAATTTGTTAGAAGCAGGTTACTGTGTTAGGTGTTGGGAAAGAGGCGCACTGCTCCTGCTCTGAAGGTATCTAAAATCCAGTAGGCTGTAACTACCAGCACCTCCACCATCCTCATCCTCCTTCCTCATCAACATCATCAATTCATTTTGCTCCTGTTCTGTTTGATAGACTACATCATTTCCAACCTTATTTAAAGGAATCGTCTTTGTAAGTAAGAGAGCCCTAGATAGCAGCAATTGGTGCATCTGAATGCAACCTCTAGCTAGATTCATAGAATGTTAGAGCCAAAAGGGCCCTTTGGGCTCACCTTGTCCAAGCCCCTCATTGTAAAGTTGGGGAAATGGGATCTTCTAGAAGTTAACCTAGAGGTTAAGTGACTTGTCTAAGGACACATAGGTAGTAAGTAGCAGAGCCAAGCTTTGAACTGAGGTCTTTTGGATCCAAATCCAATGTTTTTCCCACTGCACTACGTTGTTTAAGCCTGAAATAATTAAAACATTTCAACTTGTGACAACAACTCCCCTACCTATCTCTAACTCAATGATAGGTTCTTGAGTCCAAAGGGTTTTATAGAAGTCATCCCTCCAATTCCACTGCTCAGATTGAGGATGATGTTACAATCCAGGGCAACTATTGTGGTGTCTAGAGAAAAAAAATCACTGGATTTGGGTTCGAATCCCAGCACTGTTACTTACACCCTGTGTGACCTTTAAGCAAGCCATTTCTACTTTCTGTGCTTCTCTTTTTTCATCTGCAAAAATGAGGGAGTTGAATGAGATGATCTCCAAGATCCTTTCAAGCTTTAAAGCCTACGAACCTCCATCCAAGGAAAAGAAGGACTCAGGGTGGTTAGCTCTTCCAAAGAGAGACCACCTGCCCAGGAATAAGGAGGACAGACATTCCCCTTCTTCCCAATTCATTCCAAGAGCTCGGAGCTCTCAGCTTACCTCCTCTGAGTAGGTTGCACAGCTGTGACTTGGGGAGGCCGGCAGTGTGGCTCCCAGCTGCTAGGATGCTTTAATGCGAGGATGGAGCTAGCCAGCAGGTTCCACTAGTTATCTCATCTCTTCTATGGGGTAAAGAGGAATGGGGAGGAAGGAGTGGGGGGCAGAGCTCCTCCTCTTGGCAGGACAGGCCCAGAAATGTCAAAGGAAAAGGCGAGTGGGAGCAGCTCCTCCTTTGAGAAAAAAGCCAGGGCAGCAGCTCATAGAACACAATCTGCTTGATCCTTCTTCCCACGAGGGGCTCCGCTACCTAATGGCACAATCAGTAAAGTCCCTCACAATCTATCACTACACCCCATTGCCCCACCCTCTTTCCCTCATTCAGCTTCTCTCCATTCCTGGGATCCTTCACCCTCCCCAAAATCCTGTCCTGGGCTTCTTTCCTCTTGCTCCCTCCTCCTCTCCAGTTCCTAGGAGTTCCCTGTCCAGCTGGTTCAACCAGCTTGGTTCTTCCCCCAAACCCCACACCCGTGGTTGCTTTCCTTAGAGAAGCCAGCTTTTAAGATCCCCACTGGTAGGTAGGCCAGATCCTTTGGCTCAGGGCTGATGCTCTGCAGCCACCCCCTACCCACCAGATCCAGGGATTAGGACCCAGGGAGCAGGAACCTCATTCTTTCTCTCTCTGGGCCTGGAGAACTTTCTAAACAGGTATGGACCAGTACCCTGAACCATGAACCTCACCCAACAAGCCCTTGTTAAATGTACTACTATGTGCAGTGTTGTGCTAGTGTCTGGGGATCCATAGCCCCAACTGAAAGTAACTCCTACCCCTAAAGAGATTACATTACATTACATTTGGGTAGGGCAAAGAATCCACAAGCAGATAAATGTATGACAGCCTGGGAGGATATCTGCAGCTCAACTTTTTCTCCTGGATCCAATGGAGGTGGAAGGAGAGGGAGAGAGGGTCCTTTGTGTCTGTGATAGGCTAGTAACTTGAGGAAGAGGAGATAATAATAAGCTGGAATTCGTATAGCAATTTAAGGCTGACAATGGGCTTTCCATATTGTCTCATTTGCTCCTCACAACAAATCCTATGAGGTAAGCACTATTATTATCCTTGTTTTGGAGATGAGGAAACTGAGGCTGGAAGAGTTTCAGTGACTGACCCAGGGTAACCTAGCTAGTAGTGTCTGAGGGCAGGATTCAGGTCTTCCCAAAAGCCTATTCCCATTGTCAGGTTCCCAGTGAACCAATGGCATTCATCCAAGTTTTCAATCTACAGAATTGGAGACAGCTGGTGTGGTGGAAAGATCACTGGACTATGAGCGGGGCAGCAACCAACTAACCAATCAATTAATCATATAAACAACAAGCACTCCACAGTTCTCGTCCTTGTTCTCCAAGTAGTTGGCTGCCGTGAGATAGCCCAAGTCACTAGGACAGACAAAGTGGCATATGCTGAGTCTAGAGACAGAAAGTCCTGGGTTCAAGTCCCAACTTGGCAAGCCACTTAATTTCTCTCTTCCTTAGTTTCCTCATTCACAAATGTAGAAAATAGTAGCATCGACCAGCTATGTAACCATCTCTCAACCTTGGTGGCTGTTTATATATAACAATAATATTATATATTACATAATATATAATAAAATATAAAAATAATAGCATGTTTAAGATTGAGGTGGACAGGCTGTTGGCTAAGGTCCCTTTCAGCCCATATAAACTATAATTTCATCACCTTATTCTGTAGTGTTATTTTGTATCAAAGGGGTGTCAAGTCAGGAAGCAAAGCCATAGTTCAATACATAGTTCGGAAGCAACTACTACAGGTGTTTTTGAGCTCAGTGGAGTGGTGGGAGGGAAGTCTTGGGGCAGGTGAAGTTTCCTCTGATTTTCCAGAGTGACAGGCCATCTCATTTTATTTTATTGAGGTTTTATGGAGATCAACAAGGCAGTTTAAGTAATGCCTTCAGCCTATTATTAAAAAGCAATTAGTCATTCTAATGAATGGCTATTCCAGTGAACAAAATGATAGTATTAAAATGTTAAAGAAGAAACAATTTAGACTCTTCTTCCTTTCTCTTCCTGATCTTTAAGGGGTTTCCACAGTTTTGTGGTTTCATTGCCCGGTCTCTGTTGGTGGGGATTGCTGTTTGTCTCCATGGAGCTGAGAGCTCTGGGGGAATTTCAGCTTTGGGAGATTTTGCTAAGAGGTAGTTGCCATGGTCCCTGGTTCCTAGAATGGATTTCTACCTTTTTGCCCTACTTCATCTCTGATGAGATCCAAATACTGTTCTCACACCACGTAGCTTCAGGCTCCCTCTCTTCTCCTAGGAATGCCTTAGCTTCATCCCTTCATAAGTATCCTCCTCAGTTTACAATGGCTTTAATGGGACAGGCTGCTGAAGGCAGGAGAGAAAATGAATTCTTTCTGTATCCAAGTTCACCATTTCCTGATTCAGGTTTAATACTAAAACATAGTCTTCAAATTCTGAAAGATTCCTTAAAATATATATATATATATATATATATATAAAATATATGTACATACACATATATGCATGTATATGTATATATACATGCATATATTAATTAGAAAGCCACTCTGTTCTAAATACCTTATCTGAAAGGGCATAGATGACAGGACTTTAGGATTTTGATCTGGAAGAGATTGTTGAAATCAGCTACTCCAGAGCTCTCATGTTATAGAGAAGGAGAGAGGGAGAGGAAGAAAGGGAAAATATCTCTCTCTCAGAGATATTAAGTGACTTGGTCAAGGTACCTCATGTAGTAGGTAGCTGGATTAGGATTTGAACCCAGGTCTTCTGACTCTAAATCAAGTGTTCTTTCCATGATGCCACGGGAAATCCAGAATTGGAGGCCATGAACCCAGTGGATTCTCAATAAATCTTGAAGGATGAGAGTATTGTAATCTTTCTTTTACCCTGAGGAAATACATTTCCCTTTTCTCTCCTGGTCTGTAGCTCTGAGATTCAACAAGTGATGAAACAATGAAATACACCAATATAGCTATGCTCAGAGTCCTATTTCTTCACGTCTAGATGACTGTAATATTGTCCCAGTGCTGGCTTTCCCATCTGTCTTTTTTTTTTTTTTTTTAATGTCAGGTCAGCCTGTATTTCGCTGTCCTTAAACGGTGTTTTCATTATGTTACTTTTTGGTTCCATTGACAAAGACTTCTTACTATTCCCACATTAAATCTACACTTCTTAGAATGGCATTCAAACAGCCAGATAAACTAGCTCATCTTTGGTTATCCAGCCTCATCTCATTTCTTCCTGAGAAAAAAATGCAGCTTCTCTTTGAAAGCCAAGGAAGGCTTGCTCTGGGTTTTTTCTTCATAATATTCTACCTATTGAATAGACTCTGTTAATTTCCCTTCAATTCATATATATTTCCTCTCTCAAGAACCAGTTTGAGTCATTTCTTCCAAGAAGCCTTCCTTGATTAATCTCACTCCATTCTTTGTGCTCCCTCATGTGGACCTATGTCCATAGCTGATGTGTTACCTCATCCAGTCATCCCTTCCACATCGTGGGGGTTAGTGGTGCAGCACCCCCATTATCTGGAAAATCCATGTAAAATTTTTTGGCTCTCCCTTCATACCAGAGAAGTCTGAATTTTTTCTTTTTCTTTTATGAGGTATTTCCAGTACCTTATTGTAAAATTTGGGTTGATATTATATAATACTATACATATATTTTATGCATTTCTGAGTTTCTAAACTTTTCCTATGTTGTCTGCTGGTTTTTGTGTTTTCTCTGTAGCTTCTGCAAAACTCCCCCAAAATTCCAATTTAATTTCTTATGCTAACCTGCAATATATTGAAACTGTGATGGGCAGAGTTGCAATGTGGAAGGGATGCCTATATATGCTGTTGTTCTCTGGAGGTTGTTCCTTTCCAATTGGGCTGTACATAAAAAGGTACCACGATTTTTGTCTCTCTGTAGTATACACAATAGGAGCTCAGTCTACATTGAGGACATTTTGTAACCTACCAGTGGTGACTACATTTGATACCTTGAAACATGGCTAAAGTCTATCTAAGGCTATATGGATTGGGTCCTGGAGAAGAAAGGGCTCTGGACTGTGAATCAGGCCTTGGGCTAATTACCTCTCTGGGTCTCAGTTTCCTCCTTTGCAGACCAAGGGGGCTAATTTGCTCACCTCTTAGATTCTTTCTACCCCATATCGCATATTTCAAGCTGAAAGAAACCCCAGTGGTGTAGTCTGACCCTCTCATTTTGTAGATGAGGAGACAGAGGCCTGGGGACACAGAACAAGGATGCTGCTGAGCAGACTGCTGCATGGTGTCGGGGGATGAAGGGAGCTCACACCATTCTACCATCTTGCAGCTTCCTATTATCGCTAATTATTCTTGCTAACTTGTTACTAAGACCTGCTGTTTCTAAAATGTTGAAGGAGTAAGTCCTGTTGTTTCTTTGATGCTGAAGAAATCCAAGTGCTCCCAATGAACCTTTAAATTTGGTAACCTGTGGAAAAACCTCTATTGCTTCTCCCTAGGTCTAAGAGAAGACCTAGCTTCTTCCTAGGTCTCTGAACAAGACATTCTTGATTTGAGAAAAAGTCTAATAACTACGTTTTTTCCCCCAAAATTGTTCTATGCAGAGTTAAAGCACTCCTGTTCGAGATGTGTGGTTTCTGGTCAGGTTTTATTAAGAATCTCTCCTGTGTCTGTTTTTGGTCATGTTAATGTACTATAAGGTGAGTTTGATTATATTCCTTGTGCCAACCACTTCTCTTCCCTTCACCCCCACCCCAACCATGCTAGGGAAAAAGAAGGGGAAGGGAGAAAAAAACTATAACACAAAAAAGCCATTAACTGAGCATTTGCCCTTGTCAATGGCAAAGCTGAAGAAAATACCAAGGCTTTGACGTGGTCTTGCTTTATGGATCTGGGAATTACGTTCCCAAGTCTCTCACGTCAAGCAATTTTGGTTTGGGTTGTGACTTTCACTACATTTCACAGTCATTCTAGAACTTGGTTTGCCTTTTCCTCCAGACTCTGACACTTTCACACCACCCTCTTGAAATGGCAGTTAAGAAGGTCTACTCATTTAAAGTCAAGGTTTGCAGATCTCCCTTTTTTTAACTCTCACTTTCTCAGACTTTTTTCCTTGACACTGCTCTCCTGCTGAACCATGGGGAAACTAAGAGGAGGAAAGTAAATCTTGTGTAACTTGGTTAACAGAAAAGCCACATTAGGTTCTCTTGGGCTTTGTGATGCTGAATACAATCCAAATTGCTGCTGGAGACCA